TCCACTTATCCAGCTGCACTTCTGTGGATTTCTTCGAAGTTTCTGATGCTGTGGGCTATCCCTCCTTCTGAAAATCCTCTCTTCTCTAGACTTCTGTGACATACCACATTGTCTTCAGCCTCTGACTCAAGTATTGTTCCCCAGAATCCTGTCCTTGGCCTTTTTTTTTTCAGCCCAGATTTTTCTCCTGAGCTCCAGACCCATAAATACAATTCATTCCCGAATGTCCTATTGGCACCTTTAAGGCTGTAGGTCCAAAATATGAACTCATTTCCTCCTCCCATGCTCTGAAACCTATTCCTTATTCTGTGTTCCCCATCTCAGCAAACAGCACTGATCCCCCAGTGATTTCAGCCAGAAATCTGGGAATTATCCCTCCTTTCTGCCCCCTCCCCCTGCAATCCTACCAGTACCCGAGTCCTGCCAGCCATGCTACTGGGCATCTTTTGAATGTCTACTCACCTCTGAAGCTGAGAGGACTTCTCACTGCCCCTGCTGCAAGTTTAGTCTCTCTAACCAACCTTCACATTTCTGAGATCAGGTTTTTAAGCACTCAAGTTTGACCAGGCCAGTAGCTGCTTAAAAGTGTTCAATATCTCTCTCTGTTGCCTGCTAATAAAGTCTAAACTCAGCTTGGCATTCAAGGCCCTTCATGATCTGGCCCCCTCACCCTGGCTTTTCCATCACTGCTCCCACCCCGGCCAGGCAGGTCTTCTCTTGTCCCCTTCAGCACCTTTGTCCTCCATGATACCCAGATAGAACACTTGTTCCCCACACAGTAGTGAAGAGAAATAGGGTGTGGAGAGAGATTTGGGGAGGAAGGCAACAGCAGCAGTGCCCAGAGAAGCAGGGCTGGTTTACTGAGCTTCACACCTGGAAGCAGCGAGAGCAGGAGCAGAAAGCCCAGGCCGGAGACAGAGAAGCTTAGGCTGAGATGGTGGCTCCGGGGCCCCATGGCCCTGCCGCAGCAAGAGGTGGGGCAGGTCTCTGGGTGTGAGCCTCTTGGCCCCACTGAGGGCAGCATCAGACTCTGCTGGCAGGGATGGTGTGGACGACACCTGCAAGTCAGAAGTAAGACTGAAATCTCTGCTGGGTCCAGCTACCCTCTGGGGAGCCCTGCGGCTCTTCCAGTTCTCTCACCCTCCTATTTGTACCTGCCCTTGGATTTAAGTACTTGGATCTTGGCATCTGCTCTTTCTCCTCTGTTAGTCCTTTCCTCTTCTGGCCTCTGCCCCTGCACTTGTCTCTGTCCCCCCACCCCCCTTTACCTCTCTCACTCAGCGTCTCCACTTCCTTTTGTCTTTTCTTCTGTAACTCTTTCTTGGCCTCTCTGCCTCTTTGACTTTGGTCTTCCTCCTTCCACTCATTCTTCCTGTCTCCTTCTATTTCAGCCCCCTAACTTCCTTTCTCTGTTCTCCGTACCTGGACTCCGGATGAGCCTGGCACATTCTCAGCAGAACGGGGCAGGGACTCCATCAGCCCTGAGCCCTCTGAGGCATAGGGCTGCAGGCCCCTCCCCCTTTGCCGTTTTCATTAGCTTAATTATAGGGTTGGGACACCTGTGCCCATGGGAACAGAGTAATTGAAACTGACACCTCAGGTTACCGGGCCCTGAATTATTCAAATTCTGTAAGTCAGCACCCAGGGTCAGCTGAAGCCCAGCCTGGGGTATTGGAGGGCACAGAGATCCTAGGGTCAGGGGTGTGAGGGAGCAGGACCCATGGATGATGCTGTCCTCCGAGTTCTACCACCATTACTGAATTCTTGAAGCCTCCTTTAAACTGTCAGCTCTGCCTCCAGTGAGAGATCGAACACATCTGTCCAGGCTAGGTAGGCACTTTGTGCCAATCAAGCTCTCCCCTCCTGGTGGGAATGGGAACTGAGCCTCGGGCTCCTCCAGGTGGCCCCACAGAGCAGGGGATGCAGCTCACATCCTCACCTACAGCCATCCCAATCGGAGCCTCAGTGTTTTCCCCATGCCCAAACACCATAGGTGATATGGGGTAGCAGGGAAAACACAGGCTTTAGAGTCACTTTCAGCTCTGTCTTATGAGTTGTCTGACATGGGCAAGCTACTGAAACTCTCTGGGTTTCGGTTTTCTCATACAGGATAATGGGATTAACAGTCCTAACTTTGAAAGGATTAAATGAGACAAGCAATAATGCAAGGCAAGTGCCCAGCATATTGTCTGATGCACAGTAGTCAACCAACTATAATCTCAGTGATATCTTCAGGAACACACACTTAGATTCACAAGTCTCCAGCCCCTGGCAACCACAGTTCTAAACTTTCTATCTCCATAATTTTGACTTAAGTACCTCATGTAAGTGGAGTCACACAGTAGTTGTCTTTTTGAGATCAGTTGATTCACTTTGCATAATATCCTCAAGATTGATCCATTTTGTTACATATGTCAGAACTTTCTTATTTTAGGGCTATATATATTCTATTGTATGCATATGCTACATTTTGCTTATCTATTCATTCCTTGAGGAATACTTGGCTTGCTTACACATTTTGGGTAGTATGAATAATCCTGCTGAATATGAAAATAGAAATATCTCTTCAAGACTTTGTTTTCAGTTCTTTTGGATATATACCCAGAAATGGAATTGCTAGGTCATATGGTAATTCAATTTTTTTTTTTTTTTGAGAAATCGCTATACTACTTTCTATAATAGCCATAACATTTTACATCCCCACCAAACAGGGTACAAGGGTTCCAATTTCTCCACATCCTCATCAACATTTATTATTATTTTTTAAATAGTAGCCATCGTAATGGGTATAAGTTGGTATCTCACTATAGTTTTGATTTGCATTTCCCTAATGATTAGTGATGTTGAGCATGGTTTCATGTGCTTATTGGCCATTTATATGTCTTCTTTGAAGAAGTGTCTATTCGAGCCTTTTGTCCATTTTTAAATTGTTTTTTTGTTGTTGTTGTGTTCTAGGAGTTCTCTCTATATTCTGGATATTAAGCCCTTATAGGGTATATAATTTGTAAATATTTTCTTCCATTCTATGGGCTGCTTTTTCAGTCAGTTGATATATTCTTTTGGTGAACAATATTTTAAATATTTTATGAAGTCCTGTTTGACTGTATTATTTTTTTGCCTGCACTTTGAAGTCATATCCAATAAATCATTGCCAAATCCAATGTTGTGAAGCTTTTGCCCTGTATTTTCTTCTAAGAGTTTTATAGTTTTAGTTCCTATATTTAAGTATTTGATCCATTTTAAAATTTTAGGTATGGTGTTTAGATAAAGGTACAACTTTATCTCTTTGCATGTGGATATCCAGTTACCCCAGCACCATTTGTTGAAAAGACAAATTCTTCCATTGAATGGTCTTGGCTCCCTCATCAAAAATCATTTGACCCTCATATGAGGGTTTATTCCTGGCTCTCTATTTTAACCCATTAGTCTAGATGTCTGTTTTTATGCCCATACCACACTGTTTTGATTACTGTACCTATGTAATAAGTTTTGAAACCAGGAAGTGTGAGTCCCCCAGCTCTGTTCTTTTCCAAGATTGTGTTGGTTATTCAGAGTCCCTTGAGATTCCATATGAATTTAGGATGGATTTTCTTATTTCTGAAAAAAAAAATGCCACTGGGATTTTGGTAGGAATTGCACTAAATCTGTAGATTGCTTTGGTTAGTATGGATATTTTAAATCTTCCATTCCATGAATATGATGTCTTTCCATTTGTCTTTAGTTTCTTTAAGCAATATTTTAGTTTTCAGTGTACATGACTTTTGCCACCTTGACTATGTTCATTCCTATTTTCTTTTTGATGCTATTGAAAATGGAATTAATTTTGTAATTTCCTTTTTGGATTGTTCATTGTTAGTGTATAGAATGCAATGGATTTTTGCATGTTGATTTTGTATACTGCTTTGAATTAATCTATTCAGCTATTCTAACAGTGCTGCTGTTGAACCCTGTCATCATCATTATTGTTATTTGGTGTAATCTTTAGGGTTTTCTACATAAAAGATCATATCATCTGCAAACAGATTTTACTTCTTCTTTTCCAATTTGGATGTCTCTTATTTGTCTTTCTTGCCTAATTGTTCTGGCTAGATCTTCCAGTATTATGTTGATAAGAAGTGGTGAAAGAAGATGTCCTTGCCATGTTCCTGATTTAGAGGAAAAGGTTTCACTCTTTTACCATTGAGTACAATGTTTGTTGTGGGTTTTTCATATATGGCTTAGTTTGTAAGAGTGTTGGGTGTTTATCGTCCTACTTTGTTGCGTGTCTACCATGAAAGAGTACTGAATTCTGTCAAATGCTTTTTCTGTATCCGTTGAGATGATCATGTTCTTCTCCCCACCCCCATTCTGTTAGTGTGATGTATACATTGATTTTCACATGTTGAACCATCCTTGCATTTCAGAAATAAATCCCACCTGGGGCGCCTGGGTGTCTCAGTCAGTTAAGCGTCCGACTTTGGCTCAGGTCATGGTCTCACAGTCTGTGAGTTTCAGCCCTGCATTGGGCTCTGTGCTGACAGCTTAGAGCCTGAAGCCTACTTCAGATTCTGTCTCCCTCTCTGCCACTCCCCTGCTTACACTCTGTCTCTCTCTCTCTCTAAAATAAACATTTTAAGAAATTAAAAAAAAAAAAAAAAAAAAGAAAGAAAGAAATCCCACTCGGTCCTGGTGTGTAATCCTTCTGATTTGCTGAATTCAATTTGCTGATATTCTGTTGAAGATTTTTGTATCAATGTTCATAAAAGAATCGGGCTGTAATTTTCTTTTAGTGTCTTTGTCTAGCTTTGGTATAAGAGTAATTGTATACATTAAATGGGCAACTGTAGGTAGGGGTGCCTGGCTGGCTAAGTTGGTAGAGCACATGACTCTTGATCTTGGGGTTGTAAGTTTGCCCTCATGCTGGGAGTAGAGATTACTTAAAAATAAAATCTTTTTTTTAATTAAAAAAAAAAAATTTAATGTTTATTTTTGAGAGAGAGAAATGAGCAGGGGAGGGGCAGAGAGAAAGGGAGACACAGAATCTGAAGCAGGCTCCAGGCTCCGAGCTGTCAGCAGAGAGCCCGACGCAGGGCTTGAACTCCCAAACTGCGAGATCTTGACCTGAGCCAGAGTCAGATCCTCAAATGACTGAGCCACCCAGGCGCCCCCAAAATAAAATCTTTAAATAGGTAAGTGTAAAGTATGTGAATTATATCTCAATAAAGTTGCTACCAAAAATCTCATAAACAATCATGAATGAGAGCTGAAACAAGAAAATAATCACAGAAACAAGAAAGTTCACAGGTATTGGACATATTAAATAATAATAATTTGAGTAATGTATTCTGGGTATTGCTCTAAGCACCATAATATGTATTAATTCATAATTCTTACAATACCCTATAAGGTAAATACTATTATTGTTTCCATTTTATAAATGAGATAACTGAGGCACAGGAATAACTTAGTCAAGATTCCATAACATATACCAAATGGACTCGGGATTTGAAAGTAAGATATTAGGAGTAGGGAATCCATGCCTTTCTATGCTGCAACTATATGGCCCCTTTCAAAAACAAAATAGATATATGCATAATATGATTTAAATAAAAAGGATTGGAAATTTATTAACAAAATAAGAGTACTCTCAAAAATGAGGAGGTAGGTTTAAAAAGTAACCACATAGGGGCTCCTCGGTGGCTCAGCTGGTTGAGCAGCCAACTTCAGCTTGGGTCATGATCTCACAGCTTGTAGGTTTGAGCCCTGTGTTGGGTTCTGCACTGACTGCTCAGAGCCTAGAGCCTCGTTCGGATTCTCTGTCTCCTTTCTCTCTCTTTCCCTCCCGCACATTTGCGTGTTCCCTCCCTCTCTCTCTCTCTCTCTCAGAAATAAACATTAAAAAATTTTTTTTAGCAATCCCTATCAAAATAACACCAGCATTCTTCACAGAGCTAGAACAAACAATCCTAAAATTTG